GGTATTTTTATTTATCGTAAACGCGCGATTGTGGTTTATTATTGAAGTTGACTTAATAACTTACCTATAACAATCACTGAATACAAAAGAGTTTTTAATCAATTAGAACACGCCGACTGTGTGTGTGTGTCTGAATAGTGTAAACCTCAAACCTCGATTTGAACAACACAAAGAGCGCAAGAGCGGTTAAGGCTAGAAAGCATTGTTGCCGTAGTTACACCACCTGATGGTTAATTTTATTTATAAATATATTTTTCTTTTAATATTTTTTTTCTGCTAAGATATAATGTTTTTCATTAGTATCGCTTTAGAAATTTGAGTTGCTATAATCTACAGCCCCTACATTCTATTACTTTATTGTTATTAAACTTGTCTGTTTTAAAAATGCGACCACCTATAACTGGCAGACGTTCTTATAGCAATAACTTGAACTGTATTTATCATTTCTACAAAAAAAAAAAACATATTGGTAGTTATAAGGCAGTACGTACTGCCACATAACGCAGGATCTATAGAGATGGTATTTATTAAACCTTTGTGCTCGTCTGCACTTCAAACGCGACCGTCTGCCGATGTTTATTTTTTTAGATAGATTGGTTAAATAATAATAAATAATTTAATTAAAAAAAATTTTTGGTATTTTATGGGGAAGTTGGTGACGGTTTTTTGTTAATTTCAACCCCGTCTGCTTTTAAAACGCGTCCGCTATAAGTGACAGACGCACGTATTCTTAATTTATTTCGTTCCTCTGTTGGCGGCACACAGATGTGGCGGCACATGCAAAGCGTGTCAGCAGTCACCTGCATGTCCTCAATATCTCAATATTATCTGTCAAGACTGTCAACGAAGCTTCAGGGGACAAACAGTGCTACGACAGCCATAGGAGCCAGGGATTAACAGATGTCCCGACTGTTTCAAGGTGGTAAAAAGGGGTAGAACCCATACCTGTGGTGAAAATTTTCTGTAAAACTTGCAATGCCCACGTATTAGCTGATCATCTGTGTTACATGTAACCCGATCGCGGTAAGCCTAAGACTGCCGACCTTCTCTTTGTCTTCTACGACCTCGAGACCAAACAAGAGAAGGCGCAAGAAGACGGCTCCCTCCTACACGAGCCTAATCTCTGCGTAGCGGCCAGCAGGTGTGACGGATGTATTGGCGAGAAAAACTTATATTTCTGCCAAAAATGTGGATACCGGTTAGTTGTGTACATGGAAAACGTTATAGACAATTTTTTAAAGTATGTGCTAGCCGCTAGACAGAAATCCAAATAGGTAGTGGTCGTCCCTCACAACGGGCAGGCGTTTGACCACTAGCTTTGCCTAAACTACATAATTTAATGAAGACCGATCTCGCCTCGGAAGTTATAATGAGAAGTGAGGTGGTGGAAAATATTAAGTTTATTTAGATTCCTTAAATTATTTCCCCGTGCCTCTATCCAAGCTACCCAAAGCTTTCGGCTTGGGCGATAATTTCAGAATGCAAATTACGTGGGCCCCCTGCTTTCCGTCGAATTTTATGACCCTGATAACATGAAATCAGATCATTCCAAGTTTCTTGCGTAGTACAAAGACTATCAATCGACGAATTCAATATGCAGCGCGACCTCGTCGAATACTGTATATCCGACTTGGAAATCTTGACGGCCGCATGTCTCAAGTTCCGTCTGAGGCCTGTACCATAGCCTCAATCAGGTGTTTGAGTTTCACGGCTGCCCCACGTGTTACAAACACAATAAAGCCCCTATGCCTGAAGATCTTTCTCAGACATTAAACAGGTCTTGGTTACGAGGTCGTTGAAATGTGGGAATGCAAGTTTAGACGTAATCTTCAGAAGAACGAAGAGCTCCGCGCCTACACTGAGTAACACCCACTCGTAACCCTAACACCGCTAAACCCTCGAGACGCTTTCTACGGAGGCCATACAGGCAACACGAGGGAATATTACAAATGTCAGCCCGATGAAAAAATTAAATACGTCTGCAGCCTGTACCCCTGGGTCTGCCAGTACAGCAAATTCCCTATTGGACATCCAAGGTGTATACCCGCAAAAACTGCAACCAGCTTATATTACAAGAAACAGATTGGGCTGTTAAATGCAACATCCTACCACCCCAGAATCTCTACCATTCTGTGCTACCAGCCAAAATGAACAACAAGCTTATATTTATTCTCTGTCGTACATGTACAAATAAATGAGGTGAGTGCCAGCATAGGGATGACGAAGAACGAGCACTGACAGGGACATGGATTGTCAATGAAGTTGTGAAAGCCCTTTAAAAAGGTTATCGTCTGCTGGGGATCTACGAAATTTGGAATTACGTTCAGCAGTATCAAAAGACCAAAAATGTATCTGATTTATTCACCGAAATGATGAACAAATTTATAACTGTTAAACAGCAGGCGTCCGGCTGTCCTTAGCACTGTTCTAGCCAGGCAGACAGGGAGAAATACGTTGACGAGTTTCTTGAACGAGAAGACGTCAGGCTGGAGTTTGGCGAGATCATGGAAAACCCAAGGCTACGGTCTCTCGTAAAACTCATCGCGAACTCGTTCTGGGGGGAAACTGAGACAGCGGGAGAATCAGCCCAAAACGACGATCGTCAGAAACCTCGCAGAATTCTTTGCTATGCTCACCAATCCCAGCATCTACGTTTACTCGGTTCTGCCCATCAACGAAGACACTCGTCATAAACTGGGAACACAAGGAAGAAGCCTACGATTGGCTTTCCACTGTCAATGTCGTCATCGCCGCTTACGTCTCCACTCAAGCCCGTCTGAAGCTGTACAGTTGCCTGGAACAGCTGTGCGACAGGGCCCTGTATTACGATACGGATTCTGTCATTTACGTAGCCAAAGGCAACGAATATGACGTACCCACGGGCAAATTCCTCGGCGTCACGACGAATAAGCTCGAGGGGTATGGCGAGGGGAACTACATAACCGAGTTTGTGTCGGAAGGGCCGAAGAATTATGCTTATAATGTATACTCTACCAGGGATAACGAGAAGAAAGTGGTGTGCAAAGTTAAGGGAATTTCCTTCAACTACACTGCATCGCAACTTGGGAATTTCGATACCATAAAAGATATGGTGGTTGACAATAGCAAGAGTCATGTGTGCGTAACCTCTAGGAATATATTCTGTACAAAGGAACACGAACTGGTGACTGTATAGCAAACCAAGCTGTACAAGCCTCTCTCCACCAAGAGGCGGTTCTTGGGCAACCACGGCTCAGTGCCCTAGGGACGGAAAAGACCTAGGCATGAATAAATAATAATTATCAACCTGATTTGTATGTAACATTCTGTATATAATAAAAAATTGATTTTATCGCGGTTTTTATTTTCCTCGTAATGTGTGTTTGAGATACTAATAGTAGAGACTTAATGGTTTAAAATAAAAAGAAGACGTGGAGAATAAAAGTTACTTGAAAAAAACACTCAGTTTATAAATTATTGCAAAAGTTAGAAATAAAAGAGTAGCATAATTAGATTTTATCAAGGATATCTGTACATAACATTACAAGGTATTTCACCGTAATTTTTACATTTTAATACTCTGAGGCTTTAAACGCCGAAAACTGCTCGTTTCCACATGGGCTGCAGCATGTCCTTTTCCGCGATGCCCCGCCAGATGTAGTTGAACGTCTTTGGATTTGAATGCTTCTTGAAAGGGTCAAAGTCCATTTTCGAAAGCAAGGCAAACGATACAGGTTCATAGCGTATACAGAGTGTCCCACCGGGAACTGCGTCGATCGATATCTAGGAAATTACTGCTCCGAAAAATTTGAAAATTTGACAACATGGTAATGTCCCTGTGGCGAACACAACTAAAATATCTAAAACTCTCCAGCACTTCCGGTTATACCGGAAGTCGACACCAAGTTCGTTATTTTAAATGGGACACCCTATACAGGGTGTCTCACGGTGACGGCCCATCAGAATTATTTCAGAGAATACTTCGATTTGAATTTTGAAAATTGTTGTAAAAGTCATACAATTCGGCTTTGTTTTTCCAATGTGGTATAGTTGAGGTAGTAGTAGAAGATGATTTCCTACAATAATGAGATTCTAGCTTTGGCAAATTGATAAAAAAATCCCTAACGGATTCGTTTCTCTCATTATTTCTTAACTGCTTCTTTTTGTCGAAATCATTATTTTTAGTTTCTACATCATCACGTTTTTTGGTTTCTGGTTTCTGTATAACCAGTGAGTAATAGTTCTCATAGACACACCAAGCGTATTGCAAAACATTGGTTTGCATACTCTTACCCTTTCCTTTTTCTTGTCCAGAAAAAAGAATAAAATCATTTTCTTCGTCTCCCCCCTTGAGATTTTCAGTTTCTGGCCCTTCTGGTAGGGGAGAGGGGGGTGCATGTGGACAGTATTTTTCAAATCCCAATATATATTTTATTTTTCTCTAATTTTACATTTTGTTCACATTGGCACCCCTGGTCTAATGTTATCTAATATATAACTAACATATTTATGTTTAAAAAATAAACAAAAAATATATATTCTCTATTTAAAAAAAATTGTGTTCGTCCACTTCTACCCCAACAAAGGATGCATGTGGACACTAGAAGGGGTCCATGTGGACAACTGTTAAAATATGTAACATATAATAAATGTGTAGTGTTACTTCACATTATACATCGTGAGATCTTTGCTGAATTTCAAACGATCAGATGTTCTTGCTGTCCCCTTCTGATTTAGTGGTTTCGGCAGCTTGAACGCAATATTCTTTCTGGTAACTGAAACCACGTCACTGATGATTGGAAATGAAAAACTCCATGTAGGTAAGTTTCGTCGCAGGTATTGAACTTCATATACCGTCAAACACATTTTTCACAAGTGCAACATAATACACTAAAGTTTTTTTAGTTTCAAATTTTACAAGCACAAAGTCATCGGAAGAAATCAAGTCACTGTCCAAAATTGAATTTTCTACTTCCATAGCACTGTCTTCATCAATTCCTTCATCTGAAAAAGCTAGCTAGCTAGCTAGCTTCTGAGGACTCTGTTTGTTCCTGCTCCGATGAACTGTCCATAATAACCCGTTTTACATTTTTTTTCTGTTCCTTGGGAATTTTTATTTCTTTACTCTTAATAGCATCAATTTCTGGTGTACTAGTATATATACATGACTTGCCTTTTCTTCTGTTGATGTTTTGCCTTGGTGCAGCTTTTGGGAACGGTCTGATAACTTCAGGGGTGACAATTCCACTGGGACCAGCAATATCACTATCAAACTGATTTGAAACCGAAGAATCCTCTAACGTTGTGATATTTTCGCTTGTGATGTTTTGATCAAGTTCATGCATAACTGATATGTCTGTTACGTATGAACTCTGAAAGTCTACCTCAGTAAATATATGATCATTTAGCGGCCACAAACCACAAGCTTCAAATGCTTTTATTATGTTTTTCGGAACAAAGCTGGCCAAAAATGGTTGTTTAGACAAAAGTGGAATAACGTATATTGATATTTGCTTTCCAGGATGAGTAGCCATGTGGTTGTTGAAGGCCGATTTTAGCATTGCTTTAAATGGTCCATAAACTCCAACATCCAGTGGTTGAAGTTTATGTGAACAATGTGGCGGAAATGAAAGTACCACAATCCCATTTTCTTTACAAAAGCACAACGCTGGCAGTGATATATGGGATTTGTGGTTATCTATAAACAATAAAACGGGAATTTCCTTAGTCGGTAATACATGATGCACAATATGTTTAAGTACATCCATAAATAACTCGGCTGTCATCCAGCCACTTTTATGAGCTAAACCAACAGCTCCAACAGGTCCGCCGTTCACAAAGTGATCTTTTGCATGGACTCTAGGAAACACGTAGACGGGTGGCAATGCATTTCCAGTTGCTGTTATAATTCCTGTAAAAGTTACAAGCTGTCCACGTTCAGAAGAAACTATCTGGCCTACCTGTTTCTTGCCTTTCTCAGTAATAACTTTTGGAGATGGTAAGACAGTTGTTATTCCAGTCTCGTCTAAATTTAGTATACGGTTTGGTTCAAATTTGTATTTTTCTAATATACTCTTATAATTCGAAAAAAATGCATTTACATTTGCTGAGTTAAAAGAAGTTGCTCGAGCCAGGCTAGTATTTTCTGGTTTTCTCAATGAAATGTTTGCATGTCTTTTCAAGAACGATTTCATCCAGTCAATGCCTGCTTGTTTTTCTATATTCCATTTCTCCGGAAATTTCTTGTTTAATTTAAGAGCATACTCATAAGCTAGTGTTCTGATTTGCCGCAAGGTCAACCCATAGTGAATAGATGAACTTTTAAGTAGATAATTAATCAAGATGTTTTCTTCTTGTGATGAAAATACTTGATTGCTAGCATATTTCGATTTCCTCTTATCTAAAAAATTAGTTTCTGTACCAGAATCATCCCCTGCGTCATGTTGTTTTTTGAACCGCTTGTGTAACATTGACTTCTTTAAACCAAATTCCGCTGCTGCAGCGCGTATTGACATTCTACCGTTAAGAATTTCTGTTAAAGCTCTTGTCACAACCGCTTCATCAATATCAGCCCTCAAAGTTTTACGCTTGTAGGACCTTACCATTCTGTTAAAAAAAATCTTATTAAAGCATAGCAAGGTAACTTATGATCCAAAACTTAATTAGAGTATGCTCTGACAAACAAATATAGTCATAAATATGTATCTACTATTTGTAAAATCACTTTACACCACAAATAATTTATATAAACAGTGCTTCGGCCTTAATTTCAATTGAAACAGATAAGATTAATGTTATTTTGCGAATGCACACTCTATAATTCAATATTTTCAGGCTCATACGATGATCCGGGACACATGTGGACAGTATAATATCAAAGCGGGGTGCATGTGGACCCCATATCTTAATGTCCATAAGTGCCCCTGGTTACATTTTTTAGGTTAGAAATAATATCCAAGTCTGCTATGAATTCACAGCCATCATATTGTAATCATAATAACATCTAATTAAGGCTTGTAAGCATACACTACCAGTTGTATTATATGTTTAACGTACTTACTTGAATATCACGTATTATATACCACTAATAAATTTAGTTTGTCACCACTAAAACGTATTTTCACTCACAACACAAGAAGTACTAATTGTTAAACGTTGAAACTTTTATAATACATTCAGTACAATTAGAGACATCTATGAGAATTTTTTTGATTTTATTCATGCTTTTTAAGGCGCAAAATTCAAACTGTCCACATGCACCCCCTGTCCACATGTACCCCCCTCTCCCCTACTTGAGGCAATCGCTCTTCCACTTACAAATATTTTTTCTTCCCATGTAAAGCTCCAGAATTTTTTAAACATATGTTGTCTTTCTTCTTCCTTTGGGATATAACATTTAAAAGCGATTTTTTTCGACCCTCTTTCTTTACACGAACACATAATTTTTAACTTCCTTTCATTGTTCTGAACTACAAATTTGTTATTCTTTCTTCCCTCATACGGGTCCCTTCTTGTCTCTTCTTATTAGTGTTATATTCCCAGTCTTGACTGCCGCTCAATAAATTTTTCTTCCTTTTGCGCTTTTTATTGTCCTTATCTGAAGCAACATTTTCTTCCCCCTCTGAGCTACTCTCTCTTTTAATTAGGTCTTTAGGAATTTTCCTTTTCCAAAGCTATAATATAATAATACTGTTCTTAAAATCAGTTGGATCTCCTATTTCATTTGCATTGACGCCTTTAGAAACATCAGTAAAGTTTGTGCTATTTTTTTCTAGTTTCTCTTGTCTCTATTCAACTTATTATCTTGTCTTAGATTGTTCTCTTTGTAACTAGCCTCTTCAAAAGTTATATTGGCGTTGTTTAGAGTATCTAGGTGTATAAAGGCCTTGCATCGAGGAAGCACCGTCTTCATCTTCACTTTTAAACTTTAATTTGCTTAGTATTTTATAGCTTCTTGAACTCTTATTCATTCTGAAAAAAATATTTAAAGCTGATTTATACTTATCCAGTAGCTGGAGCCAATTTCATTAGCATGCCAACACTGGCATGATAACGTCCCCGTGTAAACACTTTTTCGTAGTGTGCTAGTGTACTGGTACGAAAAAATAGTGTTTACACGGGGCCACTACCACGCCAGTACTGTAAATTTTAATATGAAAGTTGTCTTAACTTCACTCAAATGAATAAAAAATTGAAAAATGCCTAAAGTCCTATGCCTAATTTTAAAAGACTGTGTTCAGATTTGTAATATTAATATTACATAGGTTATCCAAAGCAAGATACTTACGTTTGTGCCTAAACTGTTTGAAAAGAGGGCATTTTAGTAGAATGTGTAGAATGAAAACATGTGAAAAATGCCATGAGAAGCATCATATTCTATTGCATAGTACAAAATCGGAAAGTAACGTTTTATCGCGGGCTCCCAATGAAAATAGCGTAAATATGGGGGAAGCGAGACAGGTTCCAGAAAGTTCAAACGATACAGTATCGGAAAATGATGCAAACAAAGGGTGTATTAGGAAATCTGTTGATTCCATCGCGTTATCAGCATGTAGCGGTGTAAATGAAGTACTTCTTTCAACAGTTCAGGTAAAAGTAGTAGATAAAGATGGCGGGGCGCATATAGTACGTGCATTGTTAGATAGCGGCTCGCAGTCGAGTTTTATCACGCAAGAGTTGTGCAAAAAGTTAGATTTACCTACCGAAAAAATAAATTTTTTGATGCGAGGTTTAAATCAAAAATGCTCAACCATTCGTAGTAAGTGCAAAGTGAAACTGCAGTCTGTACATGGTAATTATGAGTCTGAACTGTACTGCTTTGTGCTTGATATCATAACCGGATGTTTGCCACAGGGCAGGATCAATCCCGGCGATTTGGATATTCCGCGAAATTTAAGGTTAGCTGATCCTAGCTTTTACAAACCAAGTACTGTTGAAATGCTCATCGGGGCTGATTTGTATTATGACGTCATGTGTACTGGTATGATTACGTTAGATAAGGGCCCGGTACTGCAAAAGACACGATTTGGATGGGTTGTTGCCGGTCCCATGAATAAATTAATTTCAGAGGTAAATTGTTATTTTTCTCAGAATTTAGAAAAAACCGCGTGCGAACTTTCTGAGATTCAGGTTAGCTTGCAAAAGTTTTGGCAGCTAGAAGAGATTGACGTAAAACCGGTATTGTCTGATGAAGAAACTGCGTGTGAGGAACATTTTGTTAAGACAACAACACGTGATTCAGAGGGACGGTTTGTAGTATCGATGCCGTTGAAATCACCTGTAACTAAATTAGGTGAATCCTTCAAGGAGGCAAGTAAACGATTTTTGTGTCTCGAATCTAAATTATCGAAAAGGCCGGAATTTAAAAAAAAAATGTATGTTGATTTCATGCGAGAATATGCTCAGCTTGGGCACATGGAAAAAGTAAAAACTGCAAAAGACGAGTTATGCTACTATATGCCTCACAAAGGGGTTTTGCGTGAAGAAAGCATAACTACAAAATTGCGGGTAGTATTTGACGGCAGTGCGCCAACATCATCAGGATTTTTATTAAATCATTTGCAAATTGCAGGTCCAACCATCCAGCAGGATTTGCTTAGTATATTGTTACGGTTCAGACAGCATAAGTATGTAGTTGCGGCGGATATCGCCAAGATGTACCGTCAAGTATTATTAGAGCCTGAGCAGCGATGTTTGCAACGCGTTTTGTGGCGCGAAAATCCTGAAGACGAGCTAGAGGTATGGGAGTTAAAAACAGTGACCTATGGTACGACTTCAGCGTCTTTTTTGGTTATTCGGTGCATTTTTCAATTGGCGGAATAGTGTTAATCAGTCGGAGTTAGCTCGCATTATCAAATCCGATTTCTACGTTGACGACCTTTTGACCGGCGCCGATACTGTAGACGATGCCGCGAACATTTGCAAGGGTGTAACTGACATATTAAAGCAGGGTTGTTTTGAGTTGAGAAAGTTTTATTCAAATGATAGCGAAGTTCTCAAAAATATCAATGACAAACATTCAGATAAAAAGGTGATTGAGTTTGGTGAACAAGAAAATGCAAAAACGTTAGGCATTATGTGGTGCCCATGTTCCGATCTTCTACAATATAAAATCGCGCGGTCTTGTGATTACGCAGACATATCAAAACGAGTAATACTTTCAGAAATATCTAAAATATTTGATCCTTTGGGATTGCTTGGCCCTTGCGTAATCAGTGTCAAAATTTTATTACAAAAGCTCTGGCTAGAAAAATTATCGTGGGATGAATCTGTACCCCCACCAATAAAAAGACGGTGGAAAGAATTTGCCGACGGTTTGCTATTATTGAATAATGTACGCATAGAAAGTACACGTATTATGCAATTCAGCGAAACGCATTGAAATGCACGGGTTTTGCGACGCGTCTGAGGCAGCCTACGGGGGTTGTATTTACATTAGATGTACTAACGAAATAGGAGAGATTTCCGTTAAGTTACTGTGTGCCAAGTGCAAAGGAGCTCCACTTAAAACCGTTTCATTGCCGCGATTAGAACTCTTGGGAACTGTGGTACTTACCAGGCTAGCAAAAAAGGTAAAAGATTCGCTTAGGATATCATTCGATGAATGCTTCTTTTGGTCGGACTCGATGATCGCTTTATGTTGGTTAAAAACTCAGCCATATAAATTAAAAACTTTTGTTAGTAACCGCGTAAGCGAGATACAAAGTTTGACGGGATTCGATCAGTGGCGTCACGTGCCAAGCAAGGATAATCCGGCGGATATTCTATCGCGCGGCGTCGCGCCTAAAGAAATAGTTGATTGCAATCTTTGGTGGCACGGGCCACACTGGTTAAAAGAACAATCTTTAAATTGGCCGAATAGAAAAATTAATTGTTCTAATATGCCAGATGTACGGAAAGATAGTCGTGAAGTTTTAATAATGCAAAGAAGTGAAGAAATTTTTAAAAAGTTTTCAGACTTAGGTAAGCTGAAGCGAGTAGTTGCGTGGATGCTAAGATTTTTTAATAATTGCAAGACAAAAACGGAATTAAAACGAGTTACTAGTTCAATTTCTTTGCAAGAAATACAATACGCGTTTTTTATGCTAGTAAAATTATCTCAAACTGAAAGATTTCCTAATGAAATTAAAAAATTAAATAGAAGTAAAAATCTAGATAAAGGTAGCAAGATAATTAATTTAAATCCATTTGTTGATGAAAATGGAATATTGAGGGTAGGTGGCAGGCTAGCTTATGCAAAGTTCGCCTTTGAGAAAAAACATCCTATAATTTTATCTTCTGACTGTACGTTGTCTGCTCTCCTTATTAAAGATTTTCACGTAAAGTTATTGCATGCAGGACCGAGTCATGTCTTAGCTAGTATTAGGGAAGAATTCTGGATAGTAGATGGTAAGCGTCTTTGCAACAAAGTAATTAATCATTGCATTACATGTTACCGTTTTAAGGCTAAAGCTATAACACCTATTATGGCTCCCTTACCTGAGCTTCGTCTATGTCCAAGATACCCATTTGAGGTTACAGGAGTTGACTACGCAGGCCCATTTATTATTAAAAGTAAGGCTGGTAGGGGCTGTCGGTTGTCAAAGGCGTACATTTGCTTATTTGT